CCCCTTCCTCCTCCTCCTCCAGCACAGCTCTCAGGCCCACGAGGTGCTGGATGGATGGGAGCCGTGTGGGCACGGCTGGGCAGCAGGCAGCTGCCTGCCCCTGGCACAGCGCCGGGTCCACAGGCCAGGGTGCCGGCAGGAGTTCGTCTCCTTTAAACACGGCGCAGGGGCCGAAGGCAGCCGGCCTGGCCGCCACTTCCCCTGCGTGCAGCGAGCGCGGCGACCGCAGGCGAGGAGGGGAAGTTGCTGCAAGGCGCGATAAGAAATATCAGCGCTTTCGCAGCGCTCGGGCTGCGCGGTCCAACAAGGGCCCTTCCCCCTGCCCGTGGGCTGGGGCCGGCGTCGCTGCTACCCCCCCGAGTCCCCAGCTCCCGCTCCCCTGTGCTTGCCGATACTGGGAGAGTTACTGGAAAAGCAACAGCCCGTGTCGCGTGGGCCAGCGGGGAGCCCGCGTCCTGGGGGGTGGCGGTGGCGATGCACCCTTGGTGCTCAGTACAGAGCAAAAACTGGGTGGCACCCCTGGGTGCACGGGGATGCTGCGGGTGTCCGACCCACATCTGGGTGCCCCGAGACAAGGGCAGGGGAGGCCTGAACCAGCGGAGAGGTGCCATGGTGGGAGACGGTTTGGGTTAGGGAGCCATGGTGGGTCAGGGAGCTGCACGCCGGGGAGCAGCAGCACCCAGCACCCTGGGGGTCCCTCGGCAGGTTCCTGGGTGATGCCGAGCAGGTGGGCAGGGTGTGGAGAGGGGCCTCGGGAGCGCTGGGGATCGGATGCTCTCACAGGGTCCACGGGGGAGGAAACGCAGCTGTTTCAGCCTCCCCCAACCCCAAAAAGCCTCTGTGCTCTCAGCCCTTTGGGAGCTGTTTCAGTCGGGCGTGCTGAGCAGAGCCGCACCGCTGATCCAGGGCCGAGGGCTGGGGTAGAAATTCCCGCAGCCTCGTTTGCCGGTCAGTAAAATTAACCAATGGCCAGGGGATGTGCTAAGTTCATCATCAGTTGGAGACTTTCAGATCTCCTCGGCTGAGCCCGAGGAACCAGATCTGCTGATTTCCTCCTTTCCAAGAGGCAGTGCAGGCGGCGGGTGGCCGCTGCTGGCAGAAGGAAACCAGCTCGGGACACCCAAAATGTCATGTTCCCTGGTTCGTGCTAGGCCGGGGAAAGCAGAAGCGTCGCCTCCCCCCACTTCCCTGCCGGGAAGGCGCCCGCGGCCCTCCCGCACGGCTCCTCGACACGCCGGCACCCGGCTGGGTGCAGGCAGCAGCACGGGCAGGCGGTGGGCAGTGCTCTGCCGGAGAGCCCTGTTTTGGGAGGGCACAGCTCCTTCCCTGCTGCGGTCCCCACAGCGTCCCCCGGCACCGGCCACGTGCTTCGCCCTCCCCCTGACATCTTGTCCTCCGGCGCGGTGCCTCCCAGCTGCCTCCTTTAGGGAACACATCTTCATCTTGCTTCGCGACATGGCTAGCCTTCAATGGGCCTTTTCTCGCGAGGGCCTGGCTTCTCACCTTCACCCCCTGCCTCCCAGCCCTCTGTATTTAGCAGGGGCCGGCTTGTCGTGGGAGCAATGCACGCTGCAAGAAACGTGGCCCCGACCCCGGAGCACAGGGGAAAGTCCCTCAGCAGCACCTCTGGGACCAAAGCTCCTCCTGGCTGCCCCGAAAAAGGCTCCTCGGCTCTGCTGTAAGATCATGGGTGCCTGTACGCTGTGCAACTTTGACCCACTGAGATGGCACCCACCACCGCTGGGGACCGTCCCGTGGCACCGAGGAGGCTGACAGCGCTGGGTGCTGTCTCCGGGGAGGGGGTCTCTGGGTCGGGAACAACCTGCTCACACACCCAAAATGATGTTCACGCATTTCAGGTGTCCCCAGGAGGGCTAATTCGGGGAGCTCAGGAGGCACCTAGCCCAGCTCCACGTGGGAGCAGCCATGCACGTGGTGGCCTCTGCGGCTGGCAAGGAGCTGCTCGCCACATGCCTCTGGCGAGGCAGAGGGATGCTCTCCCGGGTCAGAGCTGCATCGGCTGCCAAACGGACCCCATGGAGACATCACCAATGCCTGCTTAGATTTCCCTGTTGAGTTTCACCCCAGTGCGGGGAGCACGATGTCCCCAGCCTGGTGACCATAAGGGATGGAGACGGGCAGAGGGCCAGTGAAGGGAGGGAGACAGGGCAGCCCCCTGGGGCCGGAGGCGCAGGGACAGGGCTGGCTGGGCAGGCAGGCGGGCTTGCTCCAGCCATTTCTGTTTTGGTTTTTTTTCCCAGTGAAACTCTTTGAGCAATTCAACCTCGGTTTGGAAAGAGTTTCCCGACCAATTCCATCTCCGCCAAAGCCCCTTCTACGTGCTGTCGTCAGCGCATGTGCTGCTCAAGGCAAATCACTTCTGACTGTGCCGCTGCTCGGTTATTTTTGACTTTGCTCTTCCTCTGCCTTCTGCAAACCTCACCAGTACGTGTTTTTTTTTAACATTTCCGTCCAGATTATCAATGTAGAGTGAATCGCGTTGGCCTAAAAAAGCCTTTTGCAGAGCTGCATGAAAACTATTGCACGGACTGATGCAGTCCCTTTTACAGTCACTTTTGTGGATTTAGCTCGTAGTTTTTAATCTAGTTTAATGGGCAGCTTCACCCAGCCTTGGAGCAGGGCGTGCTTCTGGCGCCCGGCGCGGTGCCGGCTGTGCAAACTCCCCCTGCTCCCCGTCCCACGGCTGCGCCAGCCCCGGTGACATCAGGCAGCGGCAGCCATTGCGACCTGGACGTGCAAACCCTGCAAACCCGGCTTTTGGTTTTCTTCCTGGGGGCCTCACGTCCCCGTCAGCCGTTACAGCTGCCTGGGGCCTGGGGAAGTCTGGTGTTGCAGAGCACTGAGCGGGTGAGAGGCTCCAGGAGGTCTCTTGGACAAGTTTCCTAAAGAGCAAGCTTAGGGCTCGCAGCCCGCTGGCACCCGTTTCCCCGCCTGCTTCACCCTTACCACCGGGCAGCACCCTGAATCCTGCAGACCCCCACCCTGGGCTCCCAGCCCCTCCATAAGGTCTCTCCGTGGTCAGGAACATCTCACTCCTGTGCAGGTCCCACCACCAGGACAGGACGAAGGGACACAGTGGAGCTGCGCGGCCATCCCTGCCCCCAGGCAGTCGCGGGGGGGGGGGGGGGTTTTGTTTCTTTCCCCCTGTGCAAACGCCCTTTTTTTTTTTTTTTTCTGTTCTTTTTTTTTTTTTTTGCACAAACATGTTTGTCGCTCTCAGCAGCGAAGCCCAGGAGAGCGTAACCGGCTGCTCTACAACGGTGCTTCCGGCGCTTGGCAGGGGCCGCCCCTCGCCCCACGACTGGGCCGGCTGTGGTCGGGCTGTGGGGTGGCGCTGGGTGGGACTGTGCACCGTTATCTCCTCAGCAGCTACGGCTCTTCCTGTGGTCGGGGCCACGTGGGCAGGATGGGGTTAAAAGCGGACCCGCTCCCCGCAGGGGCCCATTGCTCCCCGGCCACCACCATCACCCCATGCAGCACCCTGCTGCACCGGCACCCGGCGTGGGCCACTGGCATCTGGCATGCACCACCGGCACCCGGCATGGGCCACGGGCACCTGGCATGGGCCATCGGCACCCAGCGTGGGCCACCCGCGCCCCGACCCGGTAATGGGGGGACCCATCCAAGGCGCCCACGTGGCGCTCGAGGAGCAGCATGGGGTCTCCTGGGGTGCTGGCGGCCGCAGCCCCGATCCCGCCGCGAAGGGGGCAGTGGGTGCTGGGGGCTGATGGCAGGTAAGGGGGTGCACCCATCCCAGGGAGCGGGGTGCAGCGGGGCGGTGCAGGGGGAGGAGGCACCGCGCGGGCGGGCGGGCGGAGGCAGAGAAGCGCCCGAAGCAGAAGTGCCACCGAGAGGGTTTTCAGTGGCAGTGGGGACAGGAGCGGGTGGACATGGAGGCTGGCGGGGCAGGTGAGTTGAGGCTGTCGGGGCTGGGATCTGCGTGGCCTCGGGCACGGGGACTTCCAGGTGACCCCACCACATGGCCCGAAGGGCAACGGGGGCATCAAAAGGTCTCCATGTGGCTGGCAGATGGGGCGCGGGGGGGTCCCACGGGGAGCCCCAGGCCCCGGAGCTCCCACGGCCTCAGGGGCAGGGGGATGGGGCAAGGGGTCTTTGGTAAAGGGTGGGGGGCTAAGGTGGGGTCGCCCATGGGGACACTTCAAGGGTGACAGGGATGGGGTTTGCCATAGAACTCCCACCATGGGGAGAAGGCAAAAGAGTCCTCTGTGACCAGTGGTATTTAGTTGAGGTCTCCACCATGGGGACAAGGCAATGCAAGGGGTCCCCATCACGTGGATGGACTTTGCCACGGGCTCCCCACCACGGGGACAAGGCAAAGGAGTCCTGTGTGACCAGGGTGCCGTTTAGGTGGGGTCCCCTCATGGGGACATGGCAAGGGGGAACTCTGTGACGCAGATGGGATTTGAGGGACGACGATGGAGTTTGAGGTGGGATCTCACTCTTGGGATCCAGGAGACAGGGTCCTCTGAGACCGGGATGGGGTTTGAAGGGCAATGATGGAGTTCAAGGTGGGGTCTCCCCCGTGGGGACAAGGCAAGGGGGTCCTCTGTGAAACAGATGGGGTATGAGGTGGAGGTCTCCCCATGGGGGCAAAGCAAACACCCTCTGTGACCAGGATGAGGTCTGAGAGGGGATGATGGGGTTTGAGGTGCGGTCCCCACCAGCAGGGACAAGGCCATTGGGTTCTCTGTGACCAGCATGGGGTCTGAGGTGGGGTCCCCTGGTCTGGGGACAAATTGGTCTCCTATGACCAGGAAGGAGTATTAGGTGGAGTCCCACCTTGGGTGACAAGTGACAGCTTATTCCTATGACCAGGACAGGGTCTGAGGTGGGGTCCTTCCTTTGGGGACAAGTCAAAGGTGCCCCCTATGACCAGGATGGGGTATTAGGTGGCTTCCTTGCTTTGGGGACAAGGTGAGGATGTCCCTTGTGCCCAGGATATGGCTCGAGGCGGGACGATGGCGTATGAGGTAGGGTCTTGCCCATGGGGACACGGTGAGGATGTCCCCTGTGCCCAGGATGGGGTTTTAGGGGAGATGAGGGAGCACAAGGCAAGATCTCTGCCGTGGGGATGAGGATGTCCCCCATGCCTGGCACGGCTCCCCGAGGCGGGAGATGATGCTGGCAGAGGCTCTCTGTCCCCGGGGCAAGACCAGCCCTGCAATTTGCGTCCCTGGCCATGCTGACACCGAAAGTGGCCCCATGGCGGGGCCGCATGGGGCCCCGCGCGGGCGGAAGCGAGCACTTCGCCGGAGGAGAGCAGCCGCCGGACACCGACTGAGAGACAGTGCAGTCACCCATAAAGTAGAAAGCACTACTAAACAGCACTGCAGGGTGTAGTGTTTCCTACTTTATGGATGAGTGTACTGTGGGCTACGGAGAAGAGAGCACCGTCGCGACCCATGTGCCTGTCACGAGTTGCGTGCAGTCCGAGAGCAGAGGACGGGCTGTGCCTGGCTCACGGGAGGGGGCCCGCGCTCGGCTGCCGGCCCCATGGGCTCTGCCACCCTCCCCAGGCTGCGGATGCTCTGCTCTTCCCCGCTGTCCCTCTGGCACCTGGGGACCGGCCACGTGGGGAAGAGGGGCCACGTGGCCCGGTGCCCCATGTGCGCGGCGGAGGGGCCTGTCGGGTCGGAGCAAGCACCATGTTGGGAGGCCAGGTAGGTAGCAAAGCCTCCAATTCCCATTTTATTTTCTTCCCCCATCTTCATTTTCCACGTGGCAAAGCCCTGGGAAGAGCTGGGTGGTGGCGGCCACGTGCAATGGAGAGAGGCACGGGAGGCGGACGGGGGCTCCCGGACGGGTTTGTGCTGCTAAATGATTGCTGGGTGCAACGGGGCGAGAGGCTGCTAAATAAAACTCTTTCGGCATTGACTTGTGGACTTTTTTATTCTATTCCTGGGAAACGCAAAACCAGGGAAGAGACATTTGCAGGGCCCAGGGCCACGGGCAGCAGGGCTGTCCCGCAGCGGGTGGCACCGCGACCTTGCACGCTGCTGGAGACCACGTTCAAAGCCCTGGGGGAGCCTTGGTGGGACCACGGGTGGGGGTGGTGGAAACAAGAGAGGCCGGCAAATCTCAGCCCATCGATGTGGGGCTCTCACCTTCAGTCCCCCAAGGCTCACCGGCAAAGCTGCCGTGTCCCGTGGCAGCCCCGGCCATGGTCGCAAGGCCACGTGGAGCAAAGAGACCCTCCTATGGTCCCTCTTTCCTTCCAGCCACCCACCCCTGGCCTCTCCTTCCTGGGGGGGGTCTAAAACCAACCCGGCTTCCAGGGACGCAGGAGCAGGGTCCCTGTTCCCCAAACATCAGCTCCCCACCCCCCTGGGCATCTTCACCCTTGGCTTTGACTCCCCATCTCCTGCTTGTGGGAGAGGGCATCTAAAAATAGAAAAAAAAATATTAAAAATACATATTTCTTTCCTTTTTTGAGCCCAAATATTAATGGAAAGCTTCCACAGTTTGTAAAACTTGTTGTGCTGGTCTCGGGAGCATTCGTGGGTGTTTTTATTGAGTTTGGGGTATTTTGCTTTCACTTTGACCCCCCTCCCTGGGCTGGCCAGAAAGGACCGGGGTGTTTTGCTTCTTTTTGCTGGCCCGGCTTTCCCACGTTCCCTGGCTTTGTGACTGTTCGAAGGGGATGCGGAAGGAAAAAAAAAAATCAAATCAAAACTGTCGTCATGGTCACAAGGAGGCAAGTTTTTAAACAGTAAAAACAAAAAAGGGCTAAAAAAACCCCCCAAGCAGCCAGCGCAGACCGCCCTGAGCAGCTTTCGTTTTGCTGTGCGCTGGAAAGGCAAAGCAAGTCCCAAGTTTTTAACATGCAAAAGTTTCGAAGTTCACCTCCTAATAATGAATATTCAAGTATTAGGAAGAATAAATACCGAATGTTTTTGATCGAGGACTATTGTGGTTACGAATATTACAGCCACTCAGCATACACTGCCAGGAGAGACGTCTGGAAACAAGTTTCTTGCTGAGAGCAGCAAAACAGAAACTGCTACTTTTTTCTTTAAAAAAAAAAAAAAATTCCATTTTTTAGTGCCTTCCCTCCGTACCGAATGCATTTTGGCAGGTTCCCGCAAGGAAACGTGTCCTCTCCCTATTGGGGTGAACTCCTGGGCTCTGAAGGACCGTGGCTCGCGCAGCCTTGCCCGTTCGGTGCCGCAGAGGCTGCGCGGCCCTGCTCCCGGCTGCTGCGCAAACCCAGAAATGCCCCGAGCAGGGCAGGGGCTGGGGCTGAGCCCCCTGCGGGTCCTGCGGAGGGTGCGGGTGCCCGTCCCAGTGCTGCCGGGGCGGCTCTGGGGAGGGCTATAGGCACCGACAGCCGCCCGGCCAGGCTCTGTCGGCATCTGGAGTCAGAGCCAGTCTCTCCCGCGCCAGCCCCAGTGCATGTAATGGTGTTTCCACACCGCGCTGTGCCGGGCCACCATGTCTGGGGCTGCACCGCGACCCCTGGCAGGGCCAGCCCATCACGTCCCCTTTTCTGCTAGGTTATTTTTAACCAGGGTTTGGTCCCCGTGCTGCTCCACGACACGGTCCCGCCAGCAGCCATGTGCTGCTGGGGTGACGAGATGAGGGGGAAGAGCGAGCGTGGGCAACATGGCCACTCACATCTCCTCCTTGGAGCTGCTCCAGGATGTGTCACAGCAACCCCCTGGCCACGGGGCGGGTGCACGGAGGTGGGAAGCGGGAGCTGAAGGACTCCGCTGGGAGAGCAGGCGCCCACTCGTGTCAGTGCCCGTTCCTGCGGGCACCAGCGTCAGCTCAGGAGGGGCCGTCTCGCTGGGGCCATCCCCAGGGATCTGCTGGAAAGAAGATGGAAATGGGTTGGCACCCACTGGTCCCCTCAATCTGGAGGTGCCCGTGAGAGCTGACACATGTCACCGTCCCCGCACCCATGTGCAGGTCCCCCAGGGCTGGCATGGCCCCCGGTGCTCATCCTCATGCTTTCTTCCCCAGCTGAGACCACAGGGGAGCTCCCATGAACTCCTCCTGGTCCCTGCCAAGTGCCATCCCCAGAGCCAGAGGAGGAGCTCAGCGGGACCCAGCAGGCACTAATTGGTCTTAATTGCCCTGAGCAGCCTCACCTGGGGCCCCACCCTGTGGACCTGCTGCCCCTGGGCCAAGAGCATTATTTAAGCTCAGCCCTGGGTCTTCAGTCCTTGTCTGAGCTTTGATGTAGGTAAGCCTGTGTTTGGTCTTGTCTTCTGGATGGCCCTGGATCTCTATTGTGAAAGAGGCTCGTCTCCAGCCATGTCTTCTGGATGGACCCTTGATCTGTGTTGCAGGTAGCTTGTCTCTGGTCCTGCTCCCTGAACGGACCCCGCACCCATGCTGTAGCCTTGTCTGTAGTCCTGGTTGTCTCCTCTTGCTCCTGGCTGGGGTCCCCGGTCCTGGTTCATCTTATCTTGTCTGGGGCTGCTAAGGGACCCCGTTATCAGTGTCCTGCTCAAAAGCTGTGGGATGGCTCCCTGGATTTTGAGGAGCCTGTGAGTGCTAGGGTCACGCTTGGCTTCTACATTTGTTGCCCACTGTGGAGCAGCCCAGTCCTTGCTGCTCCTTGACAGAAGAAGGCAGGAGGCCCTGGGGGACCATGCGCTGTACCCCTGTCCCTGCACCAACAGGCACAGCCCTGGCTCCTTGCAGGCCTTTGGAGAGCAGTGGGTGCTGCTGGAGGGCTCTGCTGGGATCCTTTTTCATCTCCCCAGACTTGAGCTGTTGACCTTGAGCTCTCCAATATCATCCATTTTTCATCGGTTGCTGTATGTCATCACCTCCTTTCCCTGAGCCTGTGGTTTCCCCTGTCCTGGGAGAGCTTCAAAGATCTTTCTAGGAAGGGCTTTGGCCCATCCCTCTACAGGGAGCACAGCCCCGCAGCAGATACTTGGGAGACCAGGGGTGCTTGTGGCACCCTATCCCCATAGCTCTCATGAAGACTTCATTGACTTGCAGCTCGGGAGCTCCCGAGCCACTGAGTCTTTGTTTAGCAGCCCAGACGAATTTCTCTTCTCTCCTCTCTAAGGATGGTCTGTAGCCATGACTTAGCTGGCTAAATAGCTGTAGGCTGGCCAAGGTGTGAAAGATCATCTCCAGCTTCCCATGTTCAGGGCCCCAGGAGACACCTTCTCCCCAGGGCTGGTGGTGGGGGGTGTGTGGACATCCCCTCCAGTGCCTTCACCTCACCTAACTGGGCCCTTCAGTGAAGGCTGTGGGAGATCCAGAATTGAGCCTGGGTTGTCCCTGGCCCCTCTTTCTCCAGAGTAGCAGGTCCTGGGAGCGCCATGGAGCCACGTGGGTCTGGCACGAGCGAGTGGGAGAAGCAAAGAGCTGCCCAGGGGACCGTGGTGGCAGCACGTCCCAGATGAGACAAGCAGAGACAGCGAGCAGCACATGGCAGTGGAAGTGCAAAACAAGATGTGTCGGAGCAGGGTTTCCAAGGAGGCTGCACCGTGAGCGGCGTGCGCGTTGCTCGCAACCATGCGATCTTATCAGCGGTGCATTTCCCTTCCCACTGCTGGCTCTTGCCTCCTGCTAATTAAGCCCGCTTGTTCTCTCATCAGCGAGCTGTGCAGCGCCCGGGCCTTGTTCCACACTTGTGCAGCACCCGGAGGTCCTGCCTGGTGTCTCCCCAGGGGCAAGAGAGCCATGGGCAGGGACTGAGGGGGAACCCAGCAGCGGGAGGTGGTGGGACTCATCCTGAGCTGTGCCTGGAGGGGAAGGGGTCACTTAAGCTGGTGTTTTGAAGGTACACAAGTACCAGAAAACGCAGGAAGGTGGAATCAGTTGTCTGGAATCGTCCCTCTGGTCTGTTGGCTGCATTTGCTGCTCATCACCAGCTTGGTGCTTTCCCCCACCACGCACATGCACTCCTTAAAAACAGGCGGCTGGGAGATCTGGGATTTGGGTGGGGTGGCAGGCTCCTGCATGCGAGACTGTTAGACCTGGTGGTAGCTCCCCACAGCGCAGG